AATTATTCGGCTTTTTAACAAGAAAAATCTCAAGTGAAAAATTGCCGCAAAACATTGTTGATTTATTTAAAATGAAATGATCTATAATGACATGTCTCTAATTTGATATATTTAGATACATTGTCTTTATTTTCAATAATTGAATTATTCATCTATATGATCCATTATTGTACATAATTAAGTTACAATAAAAATTGTATTTTATATGAATACTATCTTATGAAAATTGAGATGTAATAGAGTGTGATGGGACTCGTATCATAGATTGGTGGTGGTTACAAGACACTTGCACCGGCCCTGGTTACTAAACTGGTTCGAAGTTTTACTGCATGATAATGCTTTATGACAATTTCAAGTAGGAAATATGATTAAACTATGAAAATACAACAACGGCATCATCATCATCTTGCGGCCTCAGGCGAGATTGAACTCACCAATACTTTGATTGGTGTAGTTCATAATCTTGTCAAATAGCTGAATTCTTGATACCTCGCTAGGGCTATCAAGGGTGTTTTTATTGTGACACCAACACTAAATGGATTGCCTCAGAGAGACTCCATTCACCCTCATCTAAGAGCAGGTTTGAATTCAGTGTTTTTCTTCTCCACCCAAGGCTATTGAACCCAGTCTGTCCTGCTATTTACCCATAGGGAGAAGAAAGAGGATTCACACCTTTCCCAAGGGTGTTAGCATGGATTCGACTGGAATTCGAACTCGGCTCTCCGATTCCTCAATCCAAGCCGCTATCCATTACTCCACCGTGCCTCCTACAACAACAACAACAAACTTAGGGAAACTAATTAAGTGCCGTGGAGAATAAGGAAAGACAGAATGGATTTAAAAATAATAATTAGAAACAATAAAATGAGTTCAGAGAAGGTCCCAGAAAGATTCGAACCTGAAATAAGCCAAGTCAGCGAGTCTAGTTAATTAATGATATCGCAAGAGCGAGATGCTACTGGTGTGTCGATAACCAAAAGATGAGAGACACTTTGAACCGTTTCGAAAGCCAATAAGCAACTGATATTTCTTAAAAGAAAGTCAACTTTTTGATTTCTGCGTACGATTTGGAAATTACGGTCTTATTGTAGGGATGCAAAAGGCAGTCATCTCCCTTTGGTCGAGATAAAGTCACGTGGCTCAATCGCTTTTGCATCCCTACATTATTATTAACTTATTACAGTAGTACTTCACTATTCGCGAAATCGTCCCATACGCGTTTAGCGGGTAACGGTTTCCTTACTGTTCTTCTTTTTCATGTGCTGTGTCCCCACAGGACGTAAGCGATCATGGCTCTCCACAATTTCCTGTCCTTTGTTGCTCTTAATAAATTTCGTCTTTTCGTTTTTCTCCTAAACCCTGTACCGCCATCCATTTACTTAAGTTCATCAAATATGTTCTGCTTTTTTATCTCTGTCCCTCTTGTCCTTTATCTCTCCTGTGAGTATCAGAAGGGTTTTATTTCCCGTGATCTACAAAGTTCAATTGTTTGTGCGTAAATGTCATTAGGAACAAAGAAAGAGAGTGCTGAACTGCTGCGTAATATCTAATGTTTTACATTAGCATAGAAATAGACGCTTTCTAGAAACTAAGCAAAGTATTAAGAAACAGGAAAATATCTTTAGAAACAAAGAAAAGATTGTTGAACTGCTGTGTAATATATAATGTTTTGCATTAGCATAGAGAAAGACGCTTTCCAGAAACTAAGCAACGTATTAAGAAACAAGACACAGCATTAGAAACACAGAAAAGCATGCTGAACTGTTATGTAGTATCCGTCTATGTATAGCTGACCACTCATATTCGAGGATAGCCGTCTACTAGTGAGGCTAGCCAATCCCTATTGCAGACACCTGCTCAGGCGCATTTGTGTTTATTCAGAGCCCACCTGTGGTTTATACTGCAACTGTGCTGAGCAGACCTTAGTTACAGTTTCAGGGAAAAGCGTGTTATCTAACATGATCAACAATTTGAACAAGGCCAGCAAGCTCAAGCTCAAGCCCTCGGCCACGATGACTTGTGACTTCGTGCTAGCACAGCTATCGACGTCCATCCAATTCCCCTCAAAAGACTTGGGTCAATCCGTGGTATGGTTTTCAGGTACGCTGGGGTCGACCCCTCCAATCCTGACAAATCGATTATAAGAGATTCGAACCCGGGTCTCATGGTCTGAATGCGAACGTTCTAACCATTCGGCTACGTGTCCATCTGTCTTCCTATATAGTAATGAATACTGGACAATCTTCTCACAGATAAAGAATAGACATGATGTAGCAGGAATATTGCTCTACAGAAGGATGCTGAGAATAACATGGACTGAGCCTGTGAGCAACGAGAAGGTTTTAAGGAAAATGGGAACAAAAAGGTACATTGGAATATCGAAGCAAAGTATTAAAAAACATGAATGTTTCGTTCGAATCAAAGAATAGAGTACTGGAGAGTTATGTAATATCGATTCTCCTATATGGCATTGAATGCTGGACAATCTCATCACTGATGAAGAAGAGACTTGAAGCAAAAGAAATGGTTCTACATTATCGGTGGCCACAACTAGGACAACCCAACAAGCAAATTACAAATTGGCGATACCAAAACCAATCAAAAATTTCCAAATGAAAAACATCCCAGAACATTTATTTTAAACAAATTTCGATTTGAATATTCCGCAAACAACCAATCAGGACGAAAGATGACGTCGAAACGTAAACCAAGACTGTATAATTCAGTATCCGACTATAGCCTGAATTATTGAGATTTATTTATTAAAAGGTAAGAAGAAACAAGATTCCAGCTCATTTACGTTGGAAATGCTGTTTAAAAGAAAACTGAACTGTTATGTAATATCAGTCCTCTTATATGACGGTCAATACTGGATGATCCTACCACAGATAAAGAAGTGGCTTGAGACAATAGAAATGTGGTTCTATAGAAGGATTCTGAAAATACGATAGGCTGAACATGTGATCAACGACGAAGTTTTTGAGAAAAAGCAGACATACTTAGAATCAGAGGGAGACAATTGATATTTGTAGGGAATATAAAGAGGAAAATGGGCTTGGGAAATTTGACACTCACAGGACACGTCGAAGACAAGAGAGACAGAGGAAAGCAGCGAGTAACATACTTAACGACCTTGTATAAATGGATGGCAAAAAAAGGGATATGAGGAGATAATCAAAAGACACACATTTCTAAGAGCTACAAAAAACAGGAAGTTGTAGAAAACCATGAATATCCACGTCTTGAAGGGACATGGCAAATAAAAGAAGAATAAATTAAATATCATTAACCTGCTACCTTGGGCTTTGTACTGGATTAATATTTAGTAAACAAAAACAAAAAAAAAAAAAGTCTTTAATATAGATTATGCTATTTAACCCATAGATGTGGGGATATAAATTAATGCTTTTTCCAAAGGCATTAGAACAGTGCGAGCGAAACAAAATTGGCCGAAATTTGAACTCACTTTGCTTATTCCAAATTCCGTGCCGATAACCGTTAAATATATATATATATATATATATATATATATATATATATATATATGTGTGTGTGTGTGTGTGTGTGTGTGTGTGTGTGTGTGCACGCGCGTGCGTGTGTATGTGTGTGTGTGTGTGTACCGGCTGTAACAGCAAAATTATCCAAGTCACATAACAGCAGAATTGCCCATCCACAAAAGATTTAATATCTAAAAAACACTAAACTGAGTTTCTTTTTTTCCAGGTTTTTAGATAAGATGTTTAGCTATCTTGACACCATTTGTCGTAGGAATCAATGAAAAACCCTTTGAGTCATTCAGCTAGAAAGAGAACACGTTAAAATCGTTTTGTATCATCCTTACTATCTTCCCAAATGAGCAATGATGAGAGGAAAAGGATCATTCATGCCTTAATCAATGGTACCAACATTCATACTCTGGCTTCCATCTTCAAAGTCCATTCAAGAACCATCAAGAGAACGGTGAAAAAGTTTTTAAAAAGAGGGAACAGTAGAGAGGAAAACTGGATCTGGAGGTCACAACAGCAAGAGGGGTCATTATTTCAACTTAGAGGTAAAGTGATCAATTAGAAAAGATCTAACTCACTTCATAAGACGTTTGGCACGTGAGAATCCAAAGAGAAATGAAAAAGACTTGAAAATGCAATCGTGAAAACTGTGAGGCAACTTGTTACTTGTAACTTATATATATATATATATATATATATATATATATATATATATATATATGAACTTAATTTCAATCCTTCATGAGCTTCCAAATCGTAACTACGATTAACATGTCATTTTCGTTTATGATCAATTTCATCACGATTCTTCTGTTAAGATTGGAGAGTAATTATACATTCTTATTGCTCAAAGTTCGAAGGTTAATCTAACAATTGTACAATTTTGCTGTTACAAGATTTGGACAATTTTGCTGTTACACCCGGTATATGTGTGAGTGTATATATGGCATTTTTCTTTGCCCGGTGAAAAAAAAAAAAATAAATAAAATAATAAATAAATAAATTTATTTGTGGTTGGCCCGTTTCTTAGGACAGGAGTAGAGGTTTATCCCTTGTTTCCTGTTTAGGATTGGATTTCCGGTTCCTTTTAAAAATCTTCTAATTCTCTTTCACTCCTAGTAACCCCTTGCGTCTTAGTGACATTATCACCTTGATTAGGGTGAACTGACTTAAAAAAAAATGTATTCCAAGAAATACGACTCAAGATAAACTTTTCGAAAACAGAAATTATGATCCGAAATTGGAATGAAAGCAATAGTGGCACCTATACTGAATCGATCATAAAAATTCAGGATGTGGAATTGGTAAATATCAAACATTTCAAATACTTCGGTGTATGGATCAGTTATAACAAATATAGTATAGGAAAAAATTGAATACAGAATAGGCTGCACTAGGAGTAGTTTCGCACAATACCACAAATTGATACAAAGCCAAAACGTTAGCCTAAAAACTTGAGCAAGGTTCTTAAATAGCCTCGTTAGATCAAGACTTTCATGGAAAAAAAATGAAAGAAAGAGAAAAAGAAAGAAAGAAAGAAAGAGAGATGGAGAGAAAGAAAGAGAGAGGGAGAGAAAAAAGTGTGAGAGGAGTGAAACGGAAAGAGAAAGACAAATAAATAAGTAAATAAATATATAAAGAAAAAGAACGTAAGAAAAAGAAAAAGAAAGGCAAACAGAAAGAAACAAATAAATATAAGAAAGAAAGAGAGAAAGAAAGAAAATAGTGAGAGGAAAAACAGGAGATTGGAAAAAGACAAAAGAAGAAAGGGAGGAAAAATAAAGAAAGTGAAAAAGAAAGAAAGAAAGAAAACGAAAAATAGAAAGAAAAAAAGGGAATAACAAGAGATAGAGAGATAGAGAAGAAAACGAGAGAGAGAGAGAAATAGAGAGAAAGCAGATAAAGACAGAAATAGAGAGAGAAAGAGAAAGAAAGGGAATGAGAAAGAGAGAGAAAGAGAAGGGAACAGAAAAAGAAAAAAGAGAGAGAACACAATTGAAAGAGGAAAAGAGAGAATGAAAGGGGGAAAACAGAGGGAGATTGAGAGAGTGAGAAAGAGAGAAGTGCCTTTGGTTTCAAGGTCAATCGTACAAAAATGTCATCATTTGCATGCAACCACGTTCGAAACAGCTTTGTTGACTTCCCTCGATCGCCGTCAACTGGAATCCCCCCGTGTTTTCGGCCATGAGAAAAGATTACTGTAACTCCCAGTTCGTTAGTTGCATGCTAAGCACAATTCACCTGTGGCAGATGTTCAAGCGGGTTTAGTAACGACAGACAGGTGCTGAGACACACAGGTGGCAAAAAGGTATATTAAGATTTATCTCTGAAGACCCACAATAAAAAGCACAATGAGATTCAAGTGTATTTGAGTATCACAAAACGCACACACATATACGCATATATTAATTATGTGTATTTATACATACATAGCACGTAATGTGGCTTTTGATGTTTACATATTCGCGCACATTTATATCTGATAGTGTACGAGCCCCTCCCATCCCAAAATATGATAGTTTTATAGAATTAGATGAGGTACAAGTGCTGGGTAAACAATAGCCTGCTAAATATTCCCAATTCAGAGATTAGACACGCGAGATATTTTTAGCAATTTTGGAGGAGTGTATAAACATCAAGCAGGTGCAGAAGTTTAAATATCGGAAAAGCGTTTCAACAGAGGATAGAAAATGTAACACTGAGATTCGAACACACATTAGACTAACGAAAGAAGCACGCTAAAGGCAAAGCAAAGTATTGAAAAACGATTTGGTTTAGTTTGGTTGTCTTTGATTAGCGGCATATCAACCCGTAATGTCATTTACCCCTTTGCCTGTCCAGAACATCTTCGTGTGTACTATTCAAACGTTCAATCTTATTTTCAGTTTTATAAGTATTGCAAGGCAACTCAGCTTATTTAGCAAATAGAATGTGCTGATCTATAACGTTTCACATAATAAAAACCCAAGCATCACGTGATGCACAGAATGTACAAATCATAAGTTATTTACACTATGCTCTGTGCATTACATGTGATGCAAAGGTTATAATCATTTCAATAAAGTGGAAAAATAGATGTCTTTCATTTGAGACCTTACATCATCAGTCAAGCGTCCTGTGGTCATACCGTCCTGTGGTCATACCGTCCTAGGTAAGATGATAAATTACATCCACGTCCTGGCTAAGACGATAAACTACATCCAATAACAATGTCTCTGATCATGAGGTTTTGAGGAGCGTGGAACCACCTCTTAATTGCTGGTGTTCCCAGGTCCACCCTGACCCGAGGTGGTAGGGCCTGTTAGGGTTCCAACTATGGGCAAATAGTTAACCCTAAACTGGGGTCAAAACACTATGAAAGTGTAAAAATAGATTTTGATACCAGCAATACATTTTTGAAGAAAAAAATATTATCAGCAATACATTTTTGAAGAAAAAATATTGCCAACAATAAAAATCTTGTCGGCATGAAATAACCTATTGAGGTTGATATGCCGTAAAACAAACCAAACCAAACCAAACCAAACCAAACCAAACCTGTGGCCGTATATGATGCTCAAAATATTAGATTTGGCCTTTCCTCAGACATCCTGCTCAATAGTAGACTGTTTTCTTAAACTTCTTTAGTTTTAGCATTCTTTTAAAATCATGGCTCATTTGCATCATACATGGACATGGAAATCACATGTCCTGTGCATCACTTATGGTGTGCAGGACAGGCAAAGGGTTAATGCCGAAATCTAAATATGAACATTCAAAATTTTGCAATTAATTCAAGAGAATTTAGTTATTTCATGGCCGAATTTTAATCACTTAATTGCATTTTTTAAAAAAAAGTCTTATAAAATTAAACAAGGAGTGAAAACTTGTTTTTTCCTTATTCATAACTATAATTTTCAAAATGTGTGTATGTGTGATCAGATGTTGTTTATGCTTTTCCACAGCAATGGTTCTCCACTACTTCCTATCCATTATAACGTTTTACTATTTACTATCTGTTCTAGGATATATATCTTTCATAAAAACTTTAATAAAAATAAATAGTTTAATTTATTACAATAATGTTATCTATATCTATAATTCTCAAAATGTGTGCATGTATGTATGTATTTGTGTGTGTGATCAGATGTTGTTTATGCGTTTCCCCAGTTTTCATCCGATTTCGATGATTTTTTTTTGTTTGATAGATAATTCTTCAGTACCGGTTTTGAGTCCAAATTGGCTGGAAAAAATTACAATCTTAAAGGTGAAAAATCGAAAAAACTTTGCGCAAAAATCAAAGGCAAAATTTAATGTCTGTAAAAAAACAAAAACAAAACAAACAAAAAACAAAACAAACCAAAAAACAAAACAAACCAAAAAAAAAAAAAAAAAACAAAACAAAAAAAAAACAGTGTACAATCAATTTAGAGAGTTGAAATCTAACGCAAAAGATTATTAGAATTCTAAAAAAAAATATTATGACTAAAAATTATCGTATATTATTATATTGGCAGTCCATGGAAGAAGTTCCTTCCTTGAAAGATCGAGAAAGCAAAAAAAGGTCCTTTTCAGGGCCACCATCCCCCCATTAAAATTGTTACCCCCCCCATATTGGGATGTACCTCAGTTGCACCCAATTGTTTTTACTAATATTGATTTTCAGTGGGTTGATTTTAAACTTTCCCAGTAATGAAAGACCCAGTCAAAGATGGGTTATATTGCTAGTAAAGAAATAAGTTTAATAACATTTTTTTGTTGATAATGTATTCCATGTCTTCAATTTTACTTTTAAAAGGTATTGGTCATTTTTTTTTAATGCATTGCTGGTAATTTCCCTACAAAAAATGCATTGTTAGTAATTATTTAAAAAATGTATTGTTGGTATTTTTGCTATAAAAATATTTTAATATATTTATTGTGATACGTTATTTATATAGACACAAATATTTAGGTAAATGCTCTGTTTATAATAAACAGTATTAACAATATTTACCGGTCAGAATGTCCGAGAAATTTCATAGAAAAAAGTTTAAAAGCAGTAATTCAACTCTGCTAACCAGACGCTTCATCTGTAGCTACATCTGTAGCCATTTACCTAAATGGTATAGCACGTCAGGCTATATGATGCTCCTGTGTAGGATACAGGTTCGATTCCTGTCGAAGTACGCATATTTTCTATGAAATTTCTCGGACATTCAGGCCGGTAAATGTTATTAATACTGCTTATTATAAACAGAGCATTTACTTAAATATTTGTGTCTATATAAATAACGTATAACAATAAATATATTAAAAACAATTGTCAGAACTTAGACCATTTCAGAAAATGCTATAATAATATATTTTAATTTCCTAATGTTTGTTTTTGTTTTGTTGTGGGGGTGTATATATATATATATATATATATATATATATATATATATATATATATATATATATATATATATATATATATATATATATATATATATATATATATATATATTGATGTTTGTTACCTGTATTGATTGTCAGACAAACTGATTAATCAGGCCAGGTAATGTTTAATACTGTTTATTATAAACAGAGCATTTATATATAAATATTTAATATCTATAAAAAACATAATGTATAAACATAAAATGTCTTAAAATAATTGTGTGGACTTTTTATGTCCATTTCATAAATGTGTGTGTGTGTGTCAGGCCGGTAAATGTGAACAAACAGTTGGGTGGAAAAAACATAAAATTTTATTGTCCATTTCATAATGTGTGTTACTTATAACTTTTGTTAATATTTTGTTAACCACATTTACATGAAACACAATATGTTATTATTCCTAAAGTAGTAGAATTTCATTTCTTATTTATGTATATATTTCAGAGTGGCAAGTGTAACCAAGAATTGCACTAAACCTGACATTGCATGAGCGTGATCAGTTAGCCTTCCGTTACGAAATGTAGCAGTTTTTTGAACAAGTGCAGATGGCAAGGCAGGACTCATAGGCCACGTGTTTCTGTAGATGACAACCCCGTAAAAAAAATTGTCATTGCAAGATGATAAGTACGAGATCTGTGGTAGATCATCCCAGAAGAGGTCGTCTTTCAACATTCCAGTTTCGAAGAAAATGTTCAAAAGTCTCAGGAAAAGTTCAAGGACATATCCAGACGATTACAAACACTGATGGAAAACGTTGCTTCCAATGGAAGAATTTTAACACTGTACTGGACTTCTACCAAATATACTTTTCAAGATAAAACATTTTTTTTTATGAAAATTGGCCAATAATTAAGAAATTTATTAATTAATAAAGGTATTAACAATTTTAAATGAGCTGTTTCTTTCCAATTAAAAAAAATAAAATTATTTAAAATTGAAATAAAAAAAATAGTTGGTACCCCCCAAAAAGAAAAAAAAAAAACAAAAGAAAAACAAAAACAAAATAGGGCGTCAAAAGGAAGATTTTTCTTTTTACACCGCTATTACTGTATACTCTCTTGACTCCCTCGGCAATGTTTATTGTTTTAAAAATCCCTGTTTAGAATCTTAATAATAACAAAAATATTACACATTATTTAATTTTTAGATTGTTTATTGGAAAGATAAATTTTATATTTACGGGATTTAAAAAATATATGAATATTTGAAATGATTAACAATTCCAAAGGACACAATTCACCGATTACACCAATTGATATGGACAATGTGCTCAGCAATTAATTTAAGATTTCTTCATCAATTATCAGATGGATGAAAATAGATAATCTATCTTCAGATTTTGTAGGCAAAATTAGCAAAGATTTAAAATTTCTTTTCAAAATTGTGTTTTTCAAAGAAGGATAGAAAGTCGATTAAACATTCTTGATCCTTGATAGCCATTATAAAAAAAAATGAAAAAAAGAAATATTTTGAAATATGAATATCGTTTGTTATTTATAAAATGGTAAATAATAAACATTGCATTGTAGTTGGTTCTCATATTTTTAGAGAGAGAGAGAGAGAGAGAGTGTGTGTGTGAAAGAGGGAAAGAGACAGTAGGGAAGAGAAAGGAAGAAAGTGAAACGAAAAAGAAGAGAAGCAATGACGAGAAAAGGAAAAACAAGCAGAAAAGAAGCTGAGATGAGAAAAAAGAAGAAAAAGAAACAAAGACTAGAAAAAGAAGAATAAAGAAGCAGAGAAAAGAAGAAAGTGGGACAAAAAAGAAGAAAGAGAAACAGTGACGAAAAAAAAAGAAGAAGAAAAAGAAGCAGATAAGAGAAAAGAAG